ACAAAAAAAAAAAAAAAAAAAAAAAAAAGTAAGAGTTTAGATATTTTTTCCTTACAATGAAAGAGCACCCTTCATCCTGAAAGATTTGAAAAGCGGAATGAACATTGTGTGTCACCCCGTATATACGCACATACATATGTTTCTGTGTGTCAGTTAAAAATAAGCAAGTTTGGAAAGTGCAGGCGTGGCTGGTGTGGGGGCTGGGGACAATGCTGGTGACCTCGTGGGACAGGGACAGTGAGGAGTCCACCTGGCAGGGAGGGTTAGGCCACAGCCTCCTAGCACTACCTGGTCACTGGTGTTCTGGACCCTTTGGTGATTGGGTCACAGAAGGAACCAGACCCTGCTGCTCAGGGTCGCACCCCATCAGCACCACGGGAATCCGGGTCAGGTGGGCTCTGCCCTGTGGCCGGGTGACGTGGGTCCCTCCAGGGTTTCCTGGCTCAGAACACAGAGTCAGTAGGGCCTCCTGCAGGTAGCCAGGGTGTCATGGTGACCCGAGGACACACTCTGCTGCTGCTGCCCTGGTGACAGGAGAGGCAGGGAGGAGAGGGGTGGAGCCTGCCTGGCAGAGGCCACCCAGGGGGCCACGCTGCTGCCACAGCACAGGCTGCTGCCACAAAGCCATGGGGTGGGGGGCACTGAACAGTGGGAGCGCCCCACAGTACCAGTGCGGGCAGGCCTTCCGGTTCAGCCTCAATGGAATGCTGGTGGGCACCTGGCTGCTCTCCCTGCTGAATCATCATGCGAGCCAACTTCAGAGCAGCGGAGTCTGGGCGGCAGGTTGGGGGTGGGTCAAAGAGGATCCTGGGATCAGGCTTCCCAGGAACCTGCACCCTGGGGCTGCAGGATACTGGGTTTAATTAAAAAGGAATTTCATCTCCCACTGCTTTTGAATGAGGCCTTTGATCTGGGTCCCCCACCTCCCTGGGAGCATTTGGCTCCTGGAGTGTCCTGGCCTTGCTGGAAGCTGCCTGGGGCCTCCTGCTGTCTGCAGAGGCTGGGCCAAAGCCCCTGCCTCCTGCTACTCTTCAGGTAGTTTGGCTGGGCTGGAGTTGACAAAAGCAGGTTACCATCTCCTGTGTGCCCCACAGCAATAGGAGACCCTGAGAGGAACTGGGTGATGGAAACTCACCCAGATCACCTTGTGCAGCAGTAGTGGGGGCACAGGGATGCTGGGGTGTGTGGAAGGAAGGAGAGGGAGGGGCGTCCGGTCACAGCGCTGCCCTGTGAGTGGGAGTCAGCATCTCCCAGCCTCCCCGCTCCCCGAGCAGCTCCCTTGCTGACGTGCGCACCCTCCGTGTGCTCCTGCACACGGAGCAGCTGTCGCCTTACCTGGGGTGGCCGAAGGGAGGGAGACCCGTGGTGCTGGCAGTGTCGCTGTGCCGGGCGCCCGCAGCATTCCCTTCTGTGTCTCGCCTCGAGGTCCCCCTTCCAGGACACCCCAGAGGGTGGGTGCCTGGAGGAGGGCGGCGTGGTGACACGGGACGAAGCTTCCGCCACCATCTCCGGCACCCTGGAGACGAGCTGGGCGCTGTGCTGCATCCGTGTGGGGCCCACGTGTGTGCCGAGCTTTGCCAGCGTGGCCTTGCTGTGTGGCCTGCGGGCTCAGAGAGGTTTAGGAACTCACCCGAGGCCCCTCCGTCAGGTAGGGGCCCCGCGTCTGCGCCCCGGGACACCTCCACCAGGCCTGGGTGACGGCCGACGCCCAGCACCCTCCGCAGGGCCAGGCAGGCCCCTCTGGCATCCCGGACATCTGTGTCCTCACTGTCCCCTCTCTCCGCAGGCCTTTTCCCTCCGAGGAGACCGCGGAGAATGATGACGACGTCTATCGCAGCCTGGAGGAGCTGGCTGAGTAAGGGACGGGGTCCTGGCGGGCGGGCGGTCGAGGGAAGGCTCCCCAGATCCCCGGTGAGAGGAGCACAGCACCGTATTTAAGGTGGGGCTGGTCCTTGGCACCTGGAGCATCTCCCATGGGGTCTGGCTGCTGAGTGGCCCTGGGGAGCTGGAGCCCAGTGCCTTCTGGGAGTTGGCCTGGCTGCTGACCGGGCCACGGCTTCCTCTGGGTCAGCCCTGGGGGGTCGGGGTCGGGGCCGGGGTCAGGGTGAGGCGTGGGCTCCCTCCCTGCCCTCCTGCTCTCTGAGCGGATTTCTGTGCTCTGCCTCACGAAGCGCACACCTGGCCATTTTCCCCGTGGGGATGGGTGGAGCCGCTGGCCTGGCTTCTGAAGGCTGGCTGTGAGCAGAGTGACACGGGGTGGGCCCCGCCGGGGAAGGGAGGTGGCCGCTTGGCTGAGCGGGGACAGAGGGCTGGAGGAGGCGGCACTGTTGTGCAGAGCAGGGACCACGGCTGAGAAGTCCCTGGTGGCCCTGGGCTCCACGCCCACTGCCCTGCCGGCCCTTCCCGGGGTTCCGGTCTTCATGGCGCATTTCGTTGTCCCGATCGGACTGCGCGTGCCTGCTGCTCCCTCCCCCTTGTGCCGGTGCGCAGGTGGGGCGCATCGCGGTGTGCATGGCTCGGTGTTCACTGAGCACCTGCAGGGTGTGAGGCCGGGGCAGGGGCTTGGCGCTCCTCCTGCATCCCAAATCTGGGCGACTACGGATATGGCCCAGCCAACCTTGTGTGCAGGACCCCGGCCATGGGGCAGCGCGGCCCTACTGGGTGGCCCAGCTCTGAGGGACTCCTCACCCTGAGCTTGTCTGTGGGGATGAGGCTCTGAGGCCTGGGGTGCACCCTGGCGGTGGGTGAGCTTGGAGGCCCTGGGGCATCTGACATTCCTGTGGTGAGGTCAGAGCACCCACAGAGAAGATGGGGCTGGCATCGAGGGCCGGGGTCCCTGCCCAGTGCCCCTGCGGCCGTAGCCAGGCTCAGGCACCAGGGAGCGTGCGGCCTGTTCCACCACCTCCTCCTCACACACAGACAGGCCCAGGCGGGGACACCTTGGCCCAGGTCACAGAGCTCTTAAGTGACAGAGACACCATTTGACCCCAAGTTCCAAGTCTGTGCTCCGGGGACCCCGTGACCATGCCTTCCAGAGACAGCGGCACGGACTGAGCCCCAGGATGGGGACCTTGGGCAGGGCTCGGCAGAGGTGTCATCTCAGCGGGAGCCTCCTGGTGCCAACCCTGCACACTCCTAGGCTGCCATTGGCATGGCCGGGCCTCTGTCACATGGCAGTGGGACCCATTCGGACCCAAGGATCCCCTGCAGTGGGTCAGGCCTTGAGCCTGGTGCCGGGTCCCCTTTCCCTGCTGTGCCTGGTGGTGACAGGCCTCCTGATGAAAACAAGGTGGAACTGCCCACACAGGAAGTGCTGGCCTCACCTGGTGATGCCGTCTTGTGACGTTGAGTTAGCCTCAGCTGGGCGCGTGACTTGTCTGTAATCCTAGCTCTCCAGGAGGCTGAAGCAGGAGGCTTGCCCAGCTTGGGCAACTCAGTGGCTTATCAGCACCTGCTTAAAATTCTACAGGGCTGTAGCTCAGTGATAGTGAGCACCCCTGGGTTCCACCCTCAGCACCATCTCTTCGAAACAGAAGAATAAGAGTGGGTCCCCTTAGCCCAGCAGGTCCCATAGGACTGAGGTCATCACAGATGAAATCTTAAGCTGTAGTGAAGGGGATGGACTCATGGCTTGGTCCCAGCGGCTCCAGTTTAATGCATTTTTCACGCCTCCCCTCTCCTTTCATCAGAGAGCAGGGTCCCCTAGCATCTGGTCCCCGGGGACGTGGCATTGATATTACGCCGTTCCACGGACCCCCGTGTCCTCCCTGGACTCTGCCTGGGAGGGATGCGGCTGTGAGCTGCGCACACAGAAGCTGGGCCTGCCAGCAGCGGCGGTCACCTAGCACATCTGCAGGCCCCTCCCAGCCTCCCGGATGCCAGGTGTGAACTCCCAGAGGCCGCTGTGTCCCCCAGGGGGCGCCGGGCTGGGGCCACTGTGTGGGAGCAGCCCCGTGAGTGCCGTCATGCTTTCTTTCGATCATTAATTCACCCGCTGTCACGCGGTTGCTAAGCACTGTGTCAGACCTGGGGATGAAGGGTGGAGGAGGCCGCTCAGCCCCTGGAGACCCCAGGCTCCCTCAGGACGGTGGGATGACGGTGAGCACAGGCTGCCTGTGTGTGCCAGGCAGTGAGCCTCAGCCCGTCGTCTCCTGCTCTCGTGGTCTTGGACGGCTGCTGCTTCGCCGTGCCTCAGTTTCCTGCTGTGGGATGTGTGGAGCTGCCACACATGGGCCGTGTTCCGTGGGATTGGGGGGACACGGATGGTGGCATTGGCTGGTGGCACTGGGGGACCTGCCTGCCTGTACTCTCCCATCTGCAGTGGTGGTGGTGGTGGCCGTGCAGTGCAGCGGAAGTCAGTGGAGCCACGTGTATGCCTGGGGGTTTCTATCACTAGTGGGAAAAATAAAAAGGAACGGGAGAGAGTGACCTAAGAACGCATTTTATTTGACCTGATGGACCCAAAACACTGCCCTGTGGCTCATCAGCAGGGAAGCTGCGTCCTTTAGAGCACACACTCTTTAATACCCTTTTCATGTCACCCCGAAGAGTGTCCTGGGTGACTGGAGCCCACATGGGAGCCACACCCTGCATGCTGGCCTCACCCCAAGAGTGCCCTGCTTTCACTGTTATTTTTGCAGGGGTCAGGGCCTGTGGGCCGGGCCAGGCTGAGCTGTGCACAGGGGCTTGCACACACATAGAGGCCGGTTACCCAGGAGCAGGGTGGGCTGGGGCGTCCACACAGGCGGCTCAGAGGCTCAGGAGAGCGACCCTGGAACTGTCAGTAGTATGCAGGGGCCGTGTCAGCATCCACAGAAGGCAGACAGGGCCTGGTGACCCCTCCACAGTCCCCTGTCTGCTGAGCGGGTAGCCAGACCCCACAGGTGACCACGTGGCTCTCAGTGCCCGGGGCAGCCCCTGACCCATCCGGCAGCCTCGAGAGACTCCGGACACCTCCAGGCTCTGTCTGCAGTGGCCCGGCCTGGCCTATGCTGGATGCCTCTGACCCAGTTTTCCTCGAGCACAAGGGTGGCCTGAGGTTCCTGGGCCAGGGCCCCAAGCAACGGCTGTCATGTGGACAGGAGGGTGGCTGCTTCTCAGCTCTACCACGGCCTGGACACCAGGATCACAGTAGAGCTCGTTGTCTAGCTCTTGCCTTAGGTGCCCCTGTGCCAGGTGACACAGTGGGGCCGTTCCTGGGCCCAGGCTCAGCAGGACAGAGCAGGCCCTGTGTCTGTGTCGCTGCAGTTGCTCGGAGGGTCTCCGTTTCCCCATCTGTGCCCTTGCAGTGCCTGTGCAGCTGGCCCGCAGGTCCTTCGAGCTTGCAGGGCCCAGGTCAGGTGTCATACGGACGCCTGCCTGCTTAGCTCTGACCTCATGGTCCTTGGGCCGGAGTGACTGTGACACTTTGGGGACTGTGGTTCCCCCATAGCTTCTGTGGGGAGCCTGGTGTCCTGGGGGTGGGGTGCTGGGAGCATTTCCCGAAGGAGCTTGGGTGGGAAGGCCTTTAATGTAGGACATGTCCCCCAGGGGAGGCCTGGCACCTTCTCTGCAGGCCCAGAGTGGAGAGCAAGGCCCTGTCCCCTGCCTGTGACCCCTACCCCACCCAGCCCTGTGTCCTGGCTCTGCCACTGTGCAGGGACAGGTTTATTCAAAGCCATCTTGGGAGCTCTTGTGAGTTGTGTCCCTCGGGTGCCCCTGCCTTGTGGGCCACCCCGTCCTGGGCCTGGGTGAGTCGGGACAAGGAGAGGAGGGCTGTGTTTGGGGGCTTGGGGACACCTCGTGTCCAACCCAAGGAGCTGCTCCTTCCAATGGTGACAAATCTGAGAACAGATTCTGCACAGGCAGCCCTAGGAGAAAGGGATGGAATGTCCCCAGCCCCGTTAGTGCCGCCCTGCGCCCTGGGAAGACGCAGCTGGCTCCACGCAGCCTGACCTTGGGCTGGACCGGGAGGAGGCGTCTGGTGGGACCTGGCGTTGGGCTGACTGTGGAGGGTCCCCTTCCTCCAGGGTCTCACTGCCCGAGGGCCCTGAACCTGGGCCCCTTGGGGGAGGACACGGTGGGCACAGCAAGGCCTTCACCCTCCTGTGGCCCTTCCTAGGCTAGGACACCTGCAGCTGGACCATGAGGTGTGGCTGACCCCCTCCAGCCTCAGTGCCTTGACCGTGAGGCAGACACTCAGGGACCTCATGTGGGTCCCGCAGACTCTTGGGGTCCCTTGGTCCTTATGTGTCTGTGAGAGGCCTCCTGTTCTTGAGGACTGGCCAGTGGGGTCCACAAAGCCAGCATCCAGGGCATAGCTCTGCTGGACACTTTCAGGCTGGGGTCCCCCAGCCAGCACAACCAGCCCTCCCACCCCTGCCACCCTGCACAGCACGCAGGCCATTCAGTTCTCGCTCAGCCTGGCGGGTGGTGCTGGTGGCCCTTTGCCTCTGCCCTGTCCCCAGGATGGCTCCTCGGCACCTCGGTGCAGCACCACCATGGTGGGCCTCAGCTGCCAGGTGGGCTTGGTGCTTCCCAGCCCCACCCTGAACGGCGTGTCCTGCTGTGTGCTGCAGAGAGCACAGGGGCTCTGCTTGCAGAGCAGGCCACCCTTTGGTAGGGCAGCAGGTGCCACTAACGTTCATCTCTGATGCTGGTTAAATGCACAGCGATCCCCTTCCCATGTAACACGGCCTCTGACAGCAGGGAGGGGGCGCTAGACACACACGGTCATGGCAGGGAGCAGTGGCTAGCTGGCTGTGACCGGAAGGAGATGGGACCCCACAGAATCTGTTGCCTGGTACTGTCTCTTGGAAACCCCAGCAAGGAAGGACTTGGCCTTTCCCACAAACTTTCTGCATTCAGCACAGACCT